CCGCCTGGGCAGCAAGACCTCATCTCTGCAATAAATCAAAAAATCAGCCGGGCGTGGTAGGGCATGCCTGTAATTCTGGCTACTTGGCAGGCTGAGGTGGAAGGATCGCCGGAGCCCAGCAGGTCGAGGCTGCGATGGCTGAGAGCAGCCACTGCACTCCAGTCTGGGCGACAGAGTGAGACTCCAACTCAAAAAAAAAAAAAAGAGAGACGTTTGAATAATGAGGTTTGGAAGAAAATCCTGTCTTTAATCCAGAAAAGGAAAAATGTGAATGAGTTTCATATCAGCTCTTACAGTGAACTTCTGTTGTAAAGTTTAGTCACTCTATCTGCTCTCAAATAAGAATCTTCACACCTAGACATGTGAAGATTCAATGTATGGTGGAGAATGTCTTGCTCTGTTGACTACACATGTGCTTCCTCAAGTTGCCCTATCTTCCTGCTATAACTTGATTGGAATGGGTGATAAGCTACAGTGAAGGGCTTAAGCTGTATCTGAAGACTGAAATGAAGGTGTCAAATGAACCTGTGCAAATGTGGACAGTATTTCTAAACTGCTTTTTTATTACCGTGGTGATCAGAATTTTTTTTTCTATTTGAACATAGGTTTATCTTTCCTTACTTAATGAGTATGCTTTGCTAGATGTACCTAGTACCACCACAGAAACACCTGATAGAGCTAATTGTGTGCCTGTCAACAAATTGCCACTACCTTCTTTGACCTGATAACTAACACCTCTCCTAATGAAACATCCTGCTTCCCTTCTTGCTCCTTTCCAAAATATTTTCCATAAAACAACCCAACATGATCTTTTTAAAGTGTAAATTGATACGTTAGTCCTCTTCATAAACCTTTTTAATGACTTTTCATTGCACCTGAGATAAAATTTACACACTTGAATACAAATACAAGACCCTCATAATCTAACCTGTCTCTCCCTCTGTTGGGCAGTTAAGCCAGTTGTCATGACCTTAAAGTTTTTACCTTTTTTAACTTCAGGTACCTCACCTATACTACTCCTTCTTCTTGGAGTGTTTTTTCCTCTTGTTTTACTAAGTGAATTCTTCCTTTGATTCTCAGATTATAATTGATTTTCTTAGAGAGTCTTTTCCTGATCTTCATATCTAAAAGTCTATACACACTCACACACCATTAATTTCTCTTCATAGCACTTACTTTTCAAAATGGATGTTTGTGTGTGTTTGTTTAATGCCGGTCTTTTCTACTCAACTGTAAACCCCTTGAGGTCAGGGATCACATCTGTTTGTTTCACCATTATATAGCCTTTATAGTTTCTAGAACAGGGCCTGGAAAGCGCTAATCACTGTGGAATGCATGTTTGATACTTGGAATTTGGACATTACTATGGCTTACATAACATACTATTTTCCTACCAATTAAAAACCTTTTTATACTTTTAGTAAAACTTTGTTTTCACAATAGTGTCTTTAAATGTCTTGAAATAATTGAATTTTGTAGCTTTTGGAATTAACCACATCCTTTTAGACCTAATTTAAGGCCTAATGCACCACCCCCTTCTTTCTTTTCTTCCTTCCTTCCTTCCTTCCTTCCTTTTTTTTTTTTTTTTTAAAGTCAAGGTCTCACTCTGTTGCCTAGACTGGAGTACAGTGGCACAATCATGGCTTACCACAGCCTTGACCTGCTGGGCTCGGGCGATTCTTCTGCCTCAGCCTTCAAAGTAGCTGAAACTACAGGCATATGCCACCATCCCAGCTAATGACTGATTGATTGATTGTAGAGACGAGACCTCACCATATTGCGCAGGCTGGTCTCCAACTCCTGGGCTCAGGCAAACCTTTCTCTTTGGCCTCCCAAAATGCTGGGATTATAGGTGTGAGTCACTGAGCCTGGGTGGATATAATTTCTTCTTTAGCCATCTAAATTAACTTGTGATCCCTGACAAGTGTGAAATTGTAAAAATCTCTTAAATTGTAGAAGTAATTTGTTTTTCCATAGAAAATACAGATAATATGTATAGAGGATCTTCCTTCACCATTTCCCTATCTTCATTCCTAAAAGATAATTACTGTTATCAGTTTGGTTTATATTGTACTACACATTTTCAAGGCATATATAGACTATATATTTTTAAATAAAAAGTCGGAAGATGTTGAGAGACATGTGTATTCTGCACATGAAATAATACTGTAGTTACCATTCCTCTGCTCAGATTTTCTCTTTTTGTGTATTTATTTAGGATAAACTTTTTTTTTTGAGTTGGAGTCTCACTCTCACCCAGACTAGAGTGCAGTGGCATACTCACGGCCACCCCAGCTGGTGATCCTTCTGCCTCAGCCTTCCAAATAGCTGGAACTACAGGCGTGCTACCATGCCCAGCTAATTTTTTAATTTATTGTGGAGATGAGGGCTCGCCAAGTTGCCTGGACTAGTCTTGAACCCATGGACTCAGGCAGTCTACTCGCCTCAGCCTCCCAAAGTGCTGGGATTATAGGCTGAACCACTGAGCCTGGCCAGGATAAACTTTTAAAAGTGATAACTAGATTGAAGAGTATACACATTTTGAATTTTGATAGATAGTTCCAAATTGCCTCCCCAAAGGGTTGTTTTTTAAATAACATACTTGTGGGGTTTTTGTTTAGGAAAGTAATGTAATGTTTACTGTAGACTATTTGATAAATATAACAAAGCACCTAAAAAAAAAACCTGTTTTATTGTCTGGTGGTGATATTTTATATCCATTCAGTCTTTTTTTCTGTGCACACAGAAAAATTATTTTTCTAAGACTTGAATCATACTATTCAAACTGCTTTGCAGTTTACAGTTTTTATCATTATAATTAATATGACTTTGAAATGTGTTTATATTCTATTTAGTTATACTGTAATTTATTTAACTAATTCTATAGTTTTGGAAATCCAGAGTATTTCAAATACTTTGCTCTTTTAGGTAGCACTGGTATGCATATCTTCATATGTATATATTTTTATATCTTTCGATGCTTTTTCAATATATATTCTGGATTTGCTATGTCAGAGTCTGAAAATTTCATATGTATTACCAAATTGCTCTCCAGAAAAGTGTCAAGTTATATCTTACTGGTAATCTCAGTGTGCCCATTTTTTCTGCAATCTGATAGATTTTTAAAAAATACCAGTTTAATTAGAAATTAAGTTTTAAAAGTAAGTAAGAAACAGGAGATATAGCTATAATATGAAACAGGAATTGAATTTTGAGACATAGCAATTTGTACTGAATAAGCTGTATTCCTATGTGGTTCAGCTAATAAATGTCCTTTATTCTCTTTGCTATTTCATTTATTCTTTTTTTGTATGTCACTGTTCTTTGGTTTACTGTCATTTTATTCTATTCACCTATGCCTTTTCACCTAGAGACCAAATGAGAGGGTTGACATTGTATCAGAACAACCACAGGAAGATCCAGTACTAAAAGAAGAAGCCCCAGTGAGTAGCTTCATTGAATACCGTCTAACCAAATATAGTGTAAGAAAGTGAAACAGTGAATAAACCTCAACACATTCAACTGTTATGGCTCCATACTTCTTTTATTTCAGAAATTATACTTAGATAAATCTTGGAACTGGTTTAAAAGGTGGATATTTTTAGTGAATTATTTTCCTTTTCAGAACTATGACCATTTGTGTGTGTGTGTGTGTGTGTGTGTGTGTGTGTGTAATTGATCATGTGTATTCTCAACATGCCCTATCAATAACTTGGCAACAGAAGGCATCAGTCCTATTTTTAATATTTGGAAAGGGGCTTATTAATTTTTTTCCTCTTTCTTCACTTTTGCTAGTTATAGATAGCAGGTCTCAGAAAAAAAGTATAATTGAAGATAAATTTTACATTGCTAGCATTTTAAATATACTTTGTACATAGTTTCTTTTTCTTTTTCTTTTTTTTTTTTGAGTTGGAGTCTCACTTAGTCGCCCAGACTGGAGTGCAGTGGCTGCTCTCTGCCACCACAGCCTTGACCTGCTGGGCTCCGGCGATCCTTCCGCCTCAGCCTTCCAAGTAGCCGGAATTACAGGCATACGCTACCATGCCCGGCTGATTTTTTGATTTATTGTAGAGATGAGGTCTCGCTGCCCAGGCAGGTCTCAAACCTGCGGGCTCAGGCAATCCACTCACCTCAGCCTCCCAAAGGCTCAGGATTACAGGCTGAGCCACTGAGCCCGGCTCATAGTTTCTTTTTAAAGATTTCTCTTCTGATGAAGTTTTATGATCTTTTCCTGTAGGTTCAACCGATACTCTCTAATGTTCCAACAACAGAAGTGTCCACAGGTGTTAAGTTCCAGGTTGGTGATCTTGTTTGGTCCAAGGTGGGAACCTATCCTTGGTGGCCTTGTATGGTTTCAAGTGACCCCCAGCTTGAGGTTCATACCAAAATTAACACAAGAGGTAAGTAAAGGCATAAATATATACCAAGCAAAAGGTTGGAAATGAAGAACAGTGACTTTTAAATGTTTATGTGACTATAAGAATATACATATAATATATATAGCCTGATACAAAAATATACAAATCTGTGTTGGTTTTTAGTAATCATTGATATAATGATTGTCATCTTAATTGGCAGAGAACCTCTATAACTGAAGTAAATTTTGTTTTTCCTTATACTGCATTTGTTTATAATTTGTTTTTATTTATTTATTTATTTATTTTGAGTTGGAGTCTCACTCTGTTGCCCAGACTTGAGTGTAGTAGCCGCTCCCGGCCACCGCAGCCTCGACCTGCTGGGCTCCAGCGATCCTTCCACCTCAGCCTTCCAAATAACTGGAACTACAGGCGCACGCTACCACACCCGGCTAATTTTTTGATTTATTGTAGAGATGAGGTCTCGCCAAGTTGCCCAGGTGGGTCTTGAACCCGCGGACTCAGGCAATCCACTCACCTCAGCCTCCCAAGGTGCGGGATTACAAGCTGAGCCACCGAGCCCGACTTTTCTTTTTCTATTTTTTTGAGTTGGAGTCTCCCTCTGTTGCCCAGGCTGGAGTGCAGTGGCATGCTCATGGCCACCGCAGCCTCAACCTGCTGGGCTCAGCTGATCCTTCCGCCTCAGCCTTCCAAGTAGCTGGAACCACAGGCGTGCACCACCATGCCTAGCTAATTTTTTTTTTTTTTTTTTTTTTTATTATAGAGATGAGGTCTCACCAAGTTGTCCAGGCTTGTCTCGAACCCTTGGACTTGAGAAATCTTCTTGTTTCCACCTTCCAAAGTACTAGTCAGACATGAGCCACCATGCCTGGCCCTAACTTTTCTTTACTCCTTTTTCTTGGGGAGTTGACCAAAGCATAATGTGGATTAGATTTCTGGATTCCAGCATTTAGAATGAACTTGCTTTGTAGCCAAGGGAAGGTTTGAACTTGGAACTTTCTGGATATTTGTTTTGTGAACTTACTCGTGTCATATGCTGAGTTCCTCATTGCCTGTGACAACTTTGTACCTATTTCTTTTTTTTTTCACCTTAAACTTTCTGTCTTGGTCTTTGTCCCTGTTGTAAGGAGAAAAGAAGTGTCAACTTAAGTCAGATTGGTGACAGGATCAGCTATAGCTGTAATTCTGATGCGACATAGCCAGGAATCTATAGTGGTCATCTAGCTTGACCATCTTTCATCTTGTCAATATTATGTACTGATTAAATTGGGAGAGTGGAAGCATCAGTGGGGCAGAAGTTTTAAAAAAACAGTATTGAGTATTTACTTTTGTGCATGGTCCTGTGTTCAGCAATTCTCTTATGTATTTCCTTATGCAATCGTCACAGCAGCAACATTATGAAGTAGGTGCTATTATTCTGTTTCAGATAAATAAATAGCATGTCAAAGAAATCTTATTTTATAACCTCTTCTCTTAAATACTGCCTTTTATTACAGGGAAACCAGTTAAATTCACCCAGCCACTATTTACAGAGGTTGGGGCAGGCGGTCCTTGTTCCTTTGTTTGTATAAGAACTGGTAGTCCCTGAAGTACCCAGCAACTCTAATAATCTGTGGTTCTATGAGTGGGAAAAGAAAAGATAAGCATTCTCCAAGAAGACCATGCCTTCTTAAATAAAACAATTTATGTCCATATCTGAGCCTGCAGAGCTCTTTAGGAAATTATATTATGTCAGAGCTGTGACTCTTCAATTCTCTTCCCTTAGGAAAGCATTCGTTTGAGATTTTTATATAAAGAGTTTCATGTTTAATTACTTTATGATAACCTGCTAATTTAAGCTTTTTTTGAGATACAAACGAAAGCACAATTTATGCCTCATCTGTATTTTAAAGGAAGTATTTAAATTTAATTTTATTAATTAACTTAATCCATTCTGGTACACCCTAGGCAATCTCCTTCTACTTTAGTGCTGGGAAGACTGATTCTGTGTATGTAATTTTCAGAAATTTGAGAATTTAGATTTTAAAATAATGCGTATTTTGATTAAAATGCTCTGTTTCTACAATAGTTTTTTTAAATAATAACTTTTTTGAGGTATAATTTCCATACCACAAAAGTCACTCCTTTAAAATGGGCAGTTCAGTGATTTTTTTCATAGAGTTGTGCAACCCTCACCACAATCTAATTTTAGAACATTTTCATTATCCCAAGAAAATAAATCTTGTATCCATTTAGCAGTCAGTCACTCCCCATTCTTACTCCCAGCCTTTAGTGACCAGGAACTAATCTATAGATTTAATTTGTCAATCTGGCTTCTTTCATTTACTATGATGTTTTTGTGGTTCATCCATGTTTTAGCATATTTCAGTGCTTTAACCCTTTTTTTTTTGAGTTGGAGTCTGGAGTGCAGTGGCCGCTCCTGGCCACCGCAGCCTCGACCTGCTGGGCTCCGGCGATCCTTCCGCCTCAGCCTTCCAAGTAGCCGGAATTACAGGCATGTGCTACCACGCCCGGCTGATTTTTTGATTTATTGTAGAGATGAGGTCTCGCTGCCCAGGTGGGACTCGAACCCACGGGCTCAGGCAATCCACTCACCTCAGCCTCCCAAAGGTGCGGGATTACAGGCCGAGCCACTATCCCTTTTTACTGTCAATTAATGTTCCATTGTACGGCTATTTGATATAGTTTTAAGTGAAGTGGTTTCTGATAGTTTTTCTAAAAACCAAAAAAAAGTGCAAAATTTTGTTGATTACCTATACATGATGCCTATAAAGCATTTTTATTGCTTTTTTTGTTTTTATTTATTTATTTACTTATTTTAAATTTTTTTTTTTTTTGAGTTGGAGTCTCACTCTGTTGACCAGGATGGAGTCCAGTGGCACACTCCTGGCCACCACAACCTCAACCTGCTGGGCTAGGCAATCCTTCTGCCTCAGCCTTCCAGGTAGCCAGAACTACAGGCACATGCTACCATGCCCAGCTAATTTATTGATTTGTTTTATAGACGTGGTTTCACCATGTTTCCCAGGCTGGTCTCGAATCCACAGGTCAGACAATCCTCTCGCCTCGGCCTCCCAAAGTGCTGGGATTATAGACTTGAACCACTGTGCCCAGCCACCTTTTTTATTTTTAAAATTTAAAAATTAGCATATATATACCTCATGTATACATGGGATATCCCCAGAGAAATGAGTATATCTCTGGGGTTGCTTGTTATCTAAGTTATTTTGTAAACGATCTTGATCAGATACAGTAATCATTGGTTTCCATATTGTTATTAGTTAGTATTGTTATCAGTCAGATTCTTAGCATTGGAAAATGTATTTAACAGTTTTTATACATAAAGATACAATAAATTTCTGTAAGAACATGTTGAATGATGTTTGGATCACATTTTTTTGTTGTAGTTGTTGATTTGGAGTCTCACTCTGTCACCCAGACTGGAGTGCAGTGGCTGGGAGCGGCCACTGCCGCCTCAGCCTGCTGGGCTCTGGCAGTCCTTCCACCTCAGCCTTCCAAGTAGCTGGAATTACATGCACGCGCTGCCATGCCCGGCTAATCTTTAGATTTATTGTAGAGATGAGGTCTCACCAAGTTGCCCAGGCGGGTCTCGAACCCCTGGGCCTAGGCAATCCACTCACTTCAGCCTCCCAAAGCGCGACACCTGGATCACATTTCTATTTTAAGACTGGCTTGTTTGTTGAACTACACTTTCAGAGCAGCACTGCTCTCAAGCAGCAGTTCTCAGATGTTTTGGTCTCAGGACGCCTTTTACTCTTAAAATTTGGGGACTCCAAAAAGCTTTTGCTTTTGTTTATATGTATTACATCAATTACTATTTATTTTAATTTAGAAATTAAAGATGAGAAAGTTTAAAAATATTTACTAATTATTTAAAAACAGAAACTCATTATATACTATCATTAATTATATTTTATGAAAAATAACTATTTTCTCAAAAAGTTAATGGGAAGAATAGTGTTGTTTTAATTTTTGCAAATCTCTTTAATGTCTGGCTTAAATGAAGATACTGGATTCTCATATCTACTTCCACATTCAGTCTGTTATGATTTTGTTGTTTTGGTTGAAGTATTTGAAGATAATCCTGTGTAGTTGGAAAAGGGAAGGCATTTCCGATAATCGTGGATATTCTGTGCTGTTAAACAAGGGGTGTTAGTTACAATGTAGAATCTGAAATCATAGCAATGAACTTTTTTACATTAAAGTATATTTTGTTACATTAAAATCCGTTGGTTTTGTCTTGCACTTTGGGTCTTTTGTCTTGCATGACTGTAACATCATGTACTGGCCGTTTAAAAGCTACTGGTTTACTAGGTAATGCATGTTTTCCAAATGTTAACACATTTCATTATAGATGTTTTTAAACAAATTATTAATATCACTACTAATTTCAGTATGAAATCATTTTATTATTGGGAAGCTGGCAGACTAACAGCAAATGCAGTTTTTCAAATTTTTAATTTGGCTTGAAAGATCAAATTTTATTATTAGCAACAAACACTGTTGTTTTTCTTGAAGTAACAAGCTTACTTTGTTCTTTTAAAAAATATTTATTTGTTTGTTTATTTAATAGAGATGAGGTCTCGCTATGTTGCCCAGGCTGGTCTTAAACTCCTGGACTCAAGCAATCCTCTTGCCTCAGCCTCCCAAAGTGCTGGTATTACAGGTGTGAGCCACCATGCCTGGCTTAATTTGTTCATTTTTGAGGAAATATCTGCTGAACACTCAGGTTTAAAAACCATAGTTTTAGTCATTCCTTCAAATAAAAATGCCCAGTTTACCTTGCCATTCCAGTGACACAATCATACAAGTACTTTTCCTCACAACAGCCCTCATACTTTAGCATACAAAAGTGTTCTATGCATTCTTCCCATTTTGTCACATAGAATATTTAAAAGATATGTATTCAAGATTCAAGATTTAGTAAAATTAATAATTTTTAATGCTTTTTTTTCCCCAACTACTAATGTGTGGCTGTGAAGAATACAGTTACACTAGTGCAGTTTGGTATGCTGTTTGTCTTTATTTGTGCTAAGATTCCAGCAAGCTTATCCATTATTGCTTTTGCACTATCATATGCCAATGTCAACATAGTGAAAAAGACAATATCTTGGTATTGTTATGAAAATAGTTTTGACTTCACAGGATCCCTGAAAGAGTCTTAGGGGCCTCTCCCTCTGCAATTCTGTATACCACAGTTTTACAGAGCTATTTATTTAGTATTTTGACCAGCACACTTTTAAAAGTCCGTTAAAACATGTGATATACATTTTTTAAAGGAAAAATTTGTTTTGTAAAAAGATTTGTTTGTAAATAGATTTGAGTTGAGTAAAAATAAATTGTGTAACCAAGGTGATAAATCTGATAGCAGAGTTTCTGCTTTTTTTCCTCTTAAGAGTTGCTGTACTAATTTTAATCATTTGGGGTGATTTTTACAGTAGCTGTTAGTCTTGTAATTGATAGGTGTTAGAATATGTCTTTGTACAATCCAAATATACAAGTTTTAATAGGAATATTACTAAGGAACCTGGGTTAGAGTTCCATTTTTGGCAAAGTATATGTGGATGCTTATTTTCAGAAATGATTAAGAATTTCTACTTATAGGTGCCCGGGAATATCATGTCCAGTTTTTTAGCAACCAGCCAGAAAGGGCATGGGTTCATGAAAAGCGGGTACGGGAGTATAAAGGTCATAAACAGTATGAAGAACTACTGGCTGAGGCAACCAAACAAGCCAGCAATCACTCTGAGAAACAAAAGGTAACTATAGCATCATGTTAATTTTATTCATCTGATACAGCTTTTAAAGGAGTTAGTAATTTAGAATAATTTTTCATACTTGAATTCAGATAACTATTAGGATAATTTTTTAACTTCTTTACTCTCAGTTTTAATCATAATGGTAAGTGATCATCTAAATTTGTAAATGCATCTTTAAGTCTTATATGTCATATAACCAACATATAGTACTGTTAAAAACTTCAGCTACCTGCTTAATACAATATCAGATTCTATTGTGAATTGAATTAATGTGCCTAAATCTACTAGATGCTAGTGAAAATGTGGATTTTGCCAGCGATTATTATTCTTTTTTCTGTTTCAACATCTTTCCATAATTTCTTTTTATTCTCATTTAGCAAAATTTTTCTATGAAACTAAAGTTTTAAAAATATTTAGTGAGCACTTACTGTGAAACAGGTATTGTTTTAAGCATTTTATACATATTAGTTTATTTAATCTTTATAACCTATATGAGGTAGACACCATTATTCCCTTTTCTACAACTGAAGAAATTGAGGCACAGAAAGTTTATATAGCTGGTTCAACCAAGATCACACAAGTGATGTTGGATTAGGGTGGTGGATATTTTAGAAGTTTTACATGAACTCTTGATAAATCTGTCTGAGATTTTCAGCTCAACTAATTGTAGTGTAGGTCTTGTGATTCCGAAAATGTGTCATTTTTACACTTCAGAACCTAAATTTTATCACAGAATTTTTATTAATTTTATCATACTTACATTTTACAGATTTATGTATCAATATTTGACATATGGTATACTATCTCATAGTTTCATTAACTAATTTCCAGCTACCTCAGTCTACCTACCTGGATTACTTCTAGTTGCTTTGGTAATTCACACACATTTATTCAGTTTTCTTACCCCTTTTGCCAGTTCAAAGTCTTCTGATCAATTCTGGACCTAGAGACTTTGGAAACTATGATTTGGGTTTATTTTTTTCCTCACACACGCCTGCGTACCTTTATCTTGTCAGCTTTCATTTATTCCTTGGGGCTCTATCCTTTCACTTTATACTGTCCTTGTTTACATTATGGTACAAAGTAGCAGCACAGCTGCAAATGTTAGCTCTCTACCAGTGAGCTTTGATGTGTTCTCTGTAGTACCCTAATTTACCCCCTGCCCTATATATGGGGAGAAATGGAAATTTTGGGGTACCATTTTTAGTGTTCATGTTTTATTAGCCACTGTAAAGTGATTATTTCTATAATCATTCTATTTTCCCTCATTTTCACTAGCTTTTTATGAATGTAATATGAGAAGGATGACTCCCTCTTTGGAGGACTTGTCTAGCAGGGTGATCAACAAAGGAAGGATATGAAAAAAAGTAGATCTTCATGTTATCTAATACAGTAACACTAATTTATGGAGTTAGACCATTTCATTTATAATTTAATTTAACATTAAATTATGGAGTTAGACCATTTCACTTATTTTACTGAAGGACCTGAAGATACCTGAAAAGATAACAGGATCACTTGGGAAATACATACTGATTTTAATGTACCTATTAGATTAAACATGTCTGATAATTCTTGTATCTTTTTAAGATTCGGAAACCCCGACCTCAGAAGGAACGAGCTCAATGGGATATTGGCATTGCCCATGCAGAGAAAGCATTGAAAATGACTCGAGAAGAAAGAATAGAACAGTATACTTTTATCTATATTGATAAACAGCCCGAAGAGGCTTTATCCCAAGCAAAAAAGAACATTGCCTCCAAAGCTGAAGTTAAAAAAACCCGAAGACCAAGATCTGTGCTGAATACTCAGCCAGAACAGACCAATGCAGGGGAGGTGGCCTCCACACTATCAAGTACTGAAATTCGGAGACATAGCCAGAGGCGGCACACGAGTGTGGAAGAGGAAGAGCCACCTCCAGTTAAAATAGCCTGGAAAACAGCGGCAGCAAGGAAATCCTTACCAGCTTCCATTACAATGCACAAAGGGAGCCTGGATTTGCAGAAGTGTAATATGTCTCCAGTTGTGAAAATTGAACAAGTATTTGCTCTTCAGAATGCTACAGGGGATGGGAAATTTATTGATCAATTTGTTTATTCAACGAAGGTACTTCCTTTTTTCATAGGGTTTTTGGGGAATAGTATTTACAAAGACATCACCCTTGGCATTTTAAAATACCCTTTGTATCCACTGCTTTTGTTTTTTTTGTTTTGTTTTCTGTTTTATACATTTTTTTTGTTTTTTTGAGTTGGAGTCTCACTCTGTCGCCCAGACTGGAGTGCAGTGGCCACTCCTGGCCACCGCAGCCTCGACCTGCTGGTCTCCAGTGATCCTTCCACTTCAGCCTTCCAAGTAGCTGCAACTACAGGACCGCGCTACCACGCCTGGCTAATTTTTGATTTATTGTAGAGATGAGGTCTCGCCAAGCTGCCCAGACGGGTCTCGAACCCACGGGCTCAGGCAATCCACTCACCTCAGCCTCCCAAGGCGCGGGATTACAGGTTGAGCCACCAAGCCTGGCTAACTGCATTTGAAACATACAGTCAGTTTACTCTTTGGGCAAAAAGAATATAGTCAAAAAGTCTATGTTTTTCTTCTTTTTCCCCCTTTCTTTTGTAGTGTTCCCATCTGTGGTAGATTAGTGTTGAACTGTGCAGCCAAAATTGAGCTTAGCTCCCTAAAGTCATGGGAAAAAACTGGGCACTTTGCCTGTTTCTAGTTTATGTAGTTCGTCTTTCTTAGTTGAAAAGTGTGCTTCTTATTAAAGTCCCTTTTTATCAGTTATCTGAATTAACCATTGTTATAAAAGCCACTGTAGTAATTGTCCTGCTGACCTGTTTGGTTGCACCAACAATTTTGTTAGGCCCCTGTTGGCTTGGGATATCCAACTGCATTTTAGAGACATCTCAGAACTGTGTTCTGTAACAGTTAACTGCAGTGAAAGCTTGGATAATGGGATGAAAACAACCTCTCCAAACTGAATGCCTCTGTCTGTTTACTCTGGGCCTCCATTTAGTACACTTATACTTTAGCTTTAAGGCTTTAAAATTCTTTCATAACATTGTAATATTTATTTCATATACCTTTTCACCATCCTTCCAATGAGTTCATGATTTTGATTTAGTTGCATTTCATGCATTTGTACTTTAAAGAATTCTGTTCTTATTTTTTTTCTTGACATAGTCACTATGCATATTAAAATACTAGTTAAATATAGGTATGCCTCATTAGTAATACATTTTTCTAGAGAGTGATGTTAAGGGTGCTCTAGTAACCTGTTCTGCCCACAGGCTCAACTGATTTCAGTAAGCCTAAATTACCTGGAAAAACTTAAGTTGCAGTCTCCACTTGGTTCCCTTACTAGCAAATTAACATTTTGCATTTTTCCAGTAACAAATGATATTTTGCATCTTTTTTGAATGCATATTGTTTTTATTATTGGAGCTAGTTGTATATGCTTCTGGATTTACAAATCAAACTGCCCTTCCCCCAAAAAATGCGGTTTAAAGGATATTTGAGATAAAACTATAAAGCCTTTAAGAATACATATGTTTATAAATCATTCCTTTACTTCTGTTCATTGGGTTAAAGGGAGCTAAAATGAGATCTGAGTTAATTGTACCTGCTTTCTGTCTGCTCCAGATTATTTACTGGATCTCATTTTGGTCACCATGAATAGCATATTTCTGTATCTAAGGATATTCTTGTCTCTTAAGGCATGCTGACATTTTTATCTGTGTATTAGGGTACTTTATCAAATGAAAATGACTAGAGTTCTCTTACTGTGACATGTATAAAGAAACTATTTGGACCAGGAAATATTTGGTTTTTAACAGAAAATTGGGTGATATAGGTTCATATTTTAGTGACATTTTATCACCTGGACTTAGACAAATACTCCCCCCTCCCCCCACATGATCTCATTGTACATTTTAGAACATACCTTGATGAATTAATAAAATTGTTCTGATAATGGCTAAGATAAGTTAACTGCAATCAAAGACTATTATGAAATGTAAGCAAATTATCATTTTAAGCCTTCTTAATAATCCCATGATGCTATTTACCTGGTAATTACCTATTTTTTTTATTTTGCCTTATTTTAAAGGGAATTGGTAACAAAACAGAAATAAGTGTCAGGGGGCAAGACAGGCTTATAATTTCTACACCAAACCAGAGAAATGAAAAGCCAACACAAAATATATCATCTCCTGAAGCAACATCTGGTCCTACAGGTGGGTATGAATGAAGAGTATACAGGTTCATTTTAAGCAGTTATAGTTCTTTCCTGCTATAACATGGTAACTGTGTTTCTGAGAAACTTTTTGTTATCAAAAGTAAATTATATTTTAAAGATCAATGTATAAAAGCAGTTGTTTCTATAGGAAAGAATGAGTTGGGGCTAGAGAGCTTTATGCATAGTAGGTTTTTTTCCTACAGAAATTTAAGTAATAGGAAGGTTTTATAATTAAAAGAGAATAGCTGTAAAATCTATACATATCTGAGTAAATACACCATTGAGTCTCTTTCTTCACTTGAGAATAACAGTTTTACTTTTCCAGCACTATTAGCACATTTTCTCCTTCACCCCTATTGGAAACAAATTAGCAGATGCCAGAGCTCTTTTCATTATTCCTAGGTGTGCTAGGTATTAGTAGCTGAGGGGCCTAGGATCTAATTATCCTAATGTGACCTGTTCCCTGATTAGCAGATACCATGAATTGAAAATCAAGCCATGTTATTCTTGTTTAAAGGAGAAATGCATACATATATTCCATGCGGTTGTGTCTTTGGAAATGTTTAAAATAATTTTTTTTTTTTTTTTTGAGTTGGAGTCTCACTATGTTGCCCAGACTGGAATGCAGTGGCTGCTCTCGGCCACTGCAGCCTCGACCTGCTGGGCTCCAGCGATGGTTCCGCCTCAGCCTTCTGAGTAGCCGGAATTACAGGCACACGCTACCACGCCCGGCTAATTTTTTGATTTATTGTAGAGATGAGGTCTCGCCTGCCCAGCGGGTCCGAACCCGCGGGCTCAGGCAGTCCACTCACCTCAGCCTCCCAAAGGTGTGGGATTACAGGCTGAGCCACCGAGCCCGGCTCTAAAATAATTTTTTAAAGGGACTGACTGACTAAGGATTTTAGAACTTTTATTGAATGTCTGATGGGTTTGGTTTATATATCAGTATTATATCAATAGTATATGTAATACTGCTTCATGTAGCCAACAAGAAAAGAGTTAGATATTTACCAGCTTGTTCATTTAGAATCTTAGTTTGGGGAAAGGAGTTTGTTTTATTTTCTTTTAAAATATTTTTAGAATCCAAGAAGCAAGTATAATAGAAAAAAAAAGACAAACTATCTTCTGTCTTTTTATACTGTCACCACTGAACATACTTCTTGACCCAGATTTGTCTGTTCCACACACTAACCGATTCTCCAACACCAGCTCGGTGTCCTATGGTTTAATTCTTACACTATCTACCTGGAGTTAAGAGTCAAATCCCTCAGGTTAAGGGCTCAGTGCCACAAGACTGCCCCCACTTCAGATGCCAGCTGCAAGTCTGGGCCTCCAGAACTTTTGACTGACCAGCTATAAATTGGAGGTTCTTGTGATCTCCTTGAGTTAAATCATTTGCTAGAGCGACTCACAGAACTCAGGAAAGCCATTTACTTAAATTTACCAGTTTATTTTGAAGGATATGACAGAGGATACAGAGGAAAAGCCAGATGGAAGAGATGCACAGGGCAAGGGATATGGAAAGGGTTACAGAACTTCCATGCCTTCTGTAAGCATGCCGTTCTCTAGGCACCATGATGTGCTTAGCAACCTGGGATTTCTTTTTTCAGAAATTTTAATGGAGGTTTTATCATGTAGTCATGATCAATTATTAATTCAGTCTACAGCCCCTCTTCCCTTCTCAGAGGATGGCAGTGAGGGGTGTTATTGAAAGCTTTTAATTATGACTTGGTCCTTCTGGTGACCAGCCTCCATTGAGGAGCCTACCAAGAGTTGCCTCATTAGAATGCTCCTATCACCCAGGAAATACAAGAGTCAGAGATCAAATAATAGAACAAAAAATACACCCAGCAACCCTGCCACTTAGGAAATTACAAGAGTCTTAAAAGCTCTGTGCCAGGAATCAGGGGCAGAGACCAAATATATGTTATTATATCATGGTGTCACAGTGACCAAATAATTTTCCACATGGATCAAAGTGTCGAGACCTGAAATAGTAATCTTAAATCAATAGTAACTCAGGCAAACCTTTGATGGAGTACATGTAACTATTTTTGTAAGGAAAAATTTAAGTGAGATTCTAATTATTATAAAAGCAAAATAAAAATAGTAATTGTTCAGAGGAGAACTTGGCTTACCTTTCTTTATTTTTTATTTATTTTTATTTTTGAGTTGAAGTCTCACTCTGTCACCCAGACTGGAGTGCAGTGGCCGCTCCCAGCCACTGCAGCCTCGACCTGCTGGGCTCCGGCGATCCTTCTGCCTTAGCCTTCCAAGTAGCTGGAACTGCAGGCATGTGCTACCACGCCCAGCTAATTTTTGATTTTATTGTAGAGATGAAGTCTCACCAAGTTGCCCGGGTGGGTCTCGAACCCGCGGGCTCAGGCAGTCCACTCACCTCAGCCTCCCAAAGTGCCGGGATTACAGACTGAGCCACCAAGCCCGGCTGGCTTACCCTTCTTAAAAAAAAAAAAAAAAAAAAAAGATGAGGGCTGCAGGATAGGCAGCGGAGATGGGGTTGGATAGGACGTGTTAAACAGCAGCCTTTTTCAGTATTGAGTTGTGAAAGAAAGTTGAATTAAAGAGAGCAGGGAGATTTGCAACTTGAATCATTTCAAAATACTGTATAAAAAATGAAAGTATAATGTTGAAGGAATGAGTAGATGGACTTAGAAGATCTTGCATTAATTAGCCATAATTGAAAATGTTCCCTTCTTTGAATATGAAAAGAACCTTATGTCCTCAGCTTTCCATAGTTAGGTATACCAGTATTATTATCTCTTCTTACGCTAAACTGTTGGTAATTTGTCTGAATTTAGTGGCTACATAAGACTAGAAGGATCTTATTTAGCCATCTATAGTCTCTTAAGTAGGGAGAAAGTAAATTCTTCACATAATTTTAGCCTGATCTTAACTTAAATATTATGCTTTTATTTTTAGTGGAACTTGTTTTTTTTGTTTTTTGTTTTCCTTCCCCTCAATTTCTGAACATTTTATTTTCATGTAGTCTTTTCACTGTAAGATTTTTCTACTATAAGTTTTTACTTTTTTTTTTTATGTGGAATATAATACTTTTTTATACCTGGAAAAAGGAAGCCTAGTTTCTTTTTAGGCAGACACGTAGAATTTAGGCTGTATATTAAGGTAGAAACTTAATTTAGGAACTGGTGCTCTAGAGCTTTGACCTATGTTTGATTACCAGCAATGGTTGACAAGCATACTTTATCTTTTTTAATGACCATTTTGCTTTTTGTGAAAATAACTTCATTACATAGTTGAAAATCAAGAATAGAGACTTGGTTTCCTTCAAAAACCAACTGGATCATCATCTCTGCTGGTGTCAACTGCTTAAGAAAAATGCTTGAATCTTAGTAAATTTAGGGAATACATAAAATGTGTGGCACTGCCATATTTCTGTCATTTGAGGAACTGTGCTTGCATTCACACTAGATTTCTTACCTGTTTACCAGATCCAGAAATGCTTGCCTCTTTCTTAGAACATGAACATAATACTTTTCAGTGGTTTTCAATGTATGTGTCCTTTGGGTAACTTTCATAGTAATTTTGAGAAGTCATGTTGCCTTATCCCCAGTTAGACAGGAGATCAGATCTCATCTGCACTTCATGGAGCAGTTATATTGCCACATTCAACACAAGATTGTTTAGCAGTTTTATTTTCATTTTTGCCTCCCTGGTAGTACTTGAATATTGATGACTATACTCAAGTGTGGATCTCTGGGATACTCAGGTTGGTCTAGAAGGGTAGGATATCTGTTGTCTAAGTAAACATTTTCTTCAGTCTAAGAAGAAGAGTGGGAGCCAACACCTTTATTTGTGACTTCTCTGCTATAAATTGATTAACTACAGTTCTACAACAATGTATCATCATAAACAAAGTAGTGGGATCCTTCTTTGTTTTGGCTTTGAACTAAGGTGAGGGAAGCCATTTACATGTAGCCAACAGTAAATAAGTTAGAAAATGTGAAGATTATCTGGAAGGCTTTATTGAAGTGGCTTCTATCTGATTTTTTTTTTTTTTTGAGTTGGAGTTTCAGTCTGGTGCCCAGACTGGAGTGCAGTGGCATGCTCCTGGCCACTGCAGCCTCGACCTGCTGGGCTCCAGCCATCCTTCCGCCTCAGCCTTCCAGGTAGCTGGAACTACAGGCGCACGGTAGCAGTCCTGGCTAGTTTTCTTCATTTATTGTAGAGACGAGGTCTCGCCAAGTTGCCCAGGCGGGTCTCGAACCCGCGGACTCAGGCAATCCACTCGCCTCAACCTCCCAAAGTGCTGGGATTACAGGCTGATCCACCGAGCCCAGCCTCTATCTGATTTTATAAGAAGTCTTAGTAGTCTTCCTGTGCCAAGTGAAAGGTGTTTATTATTTAGGAAGGACAGTTTACATGGTCCAAGCACTGAAAACATGGAGAAGAGCTGCACTGAAGTTGCCCTTCCTCCTCAGAAGGATGGAATCCTTCCCGACTCAATGTTTTTCTAGTTGTGGTCTTCAGTCTAAGTTTCATCCTTTCCAAAAATGAGGTCCGAGAGAGGGGCTGTAGCTTAGGGGTAGAGCATTTGACTAAAAAAATGGGGTCCATGTGAGTGTTCTTTTGCTTTTAAAGAATTGTAGTCTCTAAAAGTCTTAATAGTTTATTTTACCACTTAACATGAAAGCTTGGTCATTTGTTTCATTTAGTTTTTCATGACTAATTATTTTTAAAGTATAAAAAGTCACTTAATAGTTAAATTAATAATTAGGTTTTGGTCACAATTTCCTGCCTTCCTGGTTCGGTTGTTAATAACAATAGCAAAACTTTTATCAGTGCACCAAGCATTATTAACCATTTTACATGTAGAATTTATTGAACTCATTTGTTAAAATGCAAAATGTGTAGCACTGACTGAATTTTGAACTAATGGTTCCTAATGTCATAATAAGGTCATTTTTATTCATCCTTTAGTCCCTTCATCCTCTCAGCTATATTTACTTAAATATGTTCATCTGTTTTTAAAACTAAACTGTCTCTGCTGTTTTACTTTGACTTTCTAATTTTAAAAAATCCAGTCCTCCTTTATTTAATTTAGGAGCCTTTGTAAATCCTAGTCTCAGCTCATCAAGCCTTTACTATTTATGTGCTCCCGAGTATTTAACAACTATTTAATGATTTGCAATTAAAATTTCAAAAGTAATAGGTAAGAAAAGCAAGGAATTTGGTCAGACTTAATTACATAAATGTCAGAGTATCCTTAAATGAATTTTTGTTTGTGTGTTTAAATTATCTCTTAGGCTCAGTAGAAAAGAAACAACAGAGAAGATCAATTAGAACTCGTTCTGAATCAGAGAAATCCACTGAGGTTGTGCCAAAGAAGAAGATCAAAAAGGAGCAGGTTGGCTTCCTACATGTAGAGAGTTAAAACATTGTATTTGTAAATGTTGTGGCTTTCATTAGTATCTTAAAAGAAAGAGAAGCTTTCCCCCACACTGGGTTTCCTTTCTGGACTGTCTCATGCTTCTGTCCTGGTTGGTGCCAGTGTCCAGTTCTTAGACAGCCATCCCTGTGATTCTGCTTCAGGCATTTTCACAGAACACTGGCAGCCTTCAGGAGACTGGAAGCCAGTGGTGCAAGACTCTTAAAACATTCTTCACACTTATTTTGAAATTTCTGTTATGAGCAAAATGATTTCATGTTTTTATGATTTTTATTTGGAACCATCATTGAGCTCCTTTTTTTTCAATTTTGATTTTTGGTTTAAGCTGCTGGTATGTATTGTTTTTATTTTTTAAACAAATCAAATTAATTTAACTTATATTCTTATATTTAAGAAGCAGTTAATCATAGATGACCTAGTTTTTCTGTTAATATCACAGATTTTTTGGAATGTTATTTTCCCAGTGTATTAGCACTCACCTGGTATCAGGTTGTCAGATAACCAATATTTAGGTTAAAGAAAAAAAAGAGGAAGGGGGTAAATTTTGACTACAGTGTATTAAACCAGTATAATCAATGTAGTAATATACATGTTAAATTTCCTTTTCAAAGAAATTTTTAGAAACTATTCTTTAAGTTAAACTCACATTTTTTCTTAATTTTTTTAAAGTGAAAGACTATTCATTTTTGTAGAGTAGACACCTGCTACTAAGCAAATTCTGAATAGAATTAGTTCCCATAAGTTATATATTTTCAAAATCATTTAATATGGAATAATGTGGACTTTTCTATTTAAAGTATTTCCTTCATAGTTTTAAACTTTCAAATTTAAAATCTAACTTTGTGGGTGCTCTATGGTATCACCAAGCATGTAAAACAGTTTTTCCAGAATATTTAACTAAAGTTTAAATAATATACTAATTTGTCATTCATTTCTCATATTAACTTTCATACTTAGGAAATTATATTCCAAAAAATCTTTCTAATCTCTTGCAAATCTGCAGTATTCGTTACCAAAATGAAGTTGTGACTTTGCCAACGGGTTCCCAAATTCAGTCTGTGACCATTCAGTTTAAAGTTAATAAGCAGAATGAGTACAAAAAATGGGACAAATTGTTAATGCCACTGTGTTATAGTTAGTAGTAGAACAATACCAGTGATTGTTTAGAAGATTTTATATTTGTATTACTAATTGTATCTTATAAAAGCGTATTTCTGTTGTATGTTTTTTTACCTGTTGTAAAAAAAAATAAAATTTTTTTAAAAAGCTTAGAACAATCCTTAAATATTTACAAAATGTGTTTCAACATGCATATTTCACCACATCTTAAAGAAACATGAAATTCAATTCATAGCTTAAACAGGAACTCCTCCAAACAGCATCCTTTCTCTAATTCCAATGGTTCAATCCTCAAATTACCACGTGTTTTACATATACATTGGCAGAATAACTTCTGATCTCGCTCTCCTAATGTAGGATCAAGACACTGTTCATAAGACACTCAAGAAAGTGCTTTTGCAATATCACAAACTTATTTTCTTAAGTTTGTACTAGCAGCAAAAGTATTGAGCTTCCAGCTGTATGGAGCCCTGTAGCACTCTCTACAGAGAGGGTCCTGATTCCCAGCAACTTAGCTGTGAGTGCAGGCGCGGAAGGGTCTTAAAGTGGCGTGAGTTACATTAACCTGAGTATCATAGTAAGTAAAAATTTATCCTAACGTCTTTGGGGCGGGAGGGGTTTATAGCAACATTGGGGCTGGTTGCAGAAACAACCCCTCTCCTGCCTCCCAGACACTGAGGAAAGTATTCTTGTTCTCTTCATATACCAAGGGAGTGGTGGGAAAAGTCTTTGCTAGAGAGCATGTGGCTGTGTGTTGTCACTTGGTATTCAGCACAGGCAGCTAGGATTTAAACCCTCCTTGACCCTGAGACAGAGAACTTGACCCAGAAGATGGGACTGAGTTCAGATTTCAGATACATTAATCACTCATCATTACTTAGATTGATGAAAGTATTATTTTTTTCCCTCTGTTAATAATGAAAAGTGAAAAAAATTTTTGTTAATGCTGCATTTTTCTGTCCACACAGGTTGAAACAGTTCCTCAGGCTACAGTGAAGACTGGATTACAGAAAGGTGAGTTAATACAATGTTGCTTTGCATTTCCTCGATTAAAACCAATTTTTGAGACTTATTTGTACTTCATGTATTTTTGTCTGTCTCTGTTAAATCATTGTTGTTGCTCTTCAGTGTGAAATTGCAGTATTCCCAGTGTTTGTGTGTGTGTGTGTGACCTTTAAAGTTGATCTTATTCTGTATCCACGTGAAAAGTCTTAGTTGTTTTGGTAAATTGGAGAACACCATGTAGACTTGGTACTGTTTCCAACTTTTCTCCATAAGATTCTGGGGTTTCACTGGCTTATAAACTAGGGATGTGACGAATCCACTTTTTTTGGTATTCGACTGAATACCGAATAGTAGCTATTAATGTTTGTCAAACATGGACTATGACAAATCAGACAAGACAACCTGATTGAAAAAATCTTGCCACAATTATTTTTACAGTGCTGTAAAATCTTTTTGTAAATTAAAATGATTCATAGCATATTTATGGCCACTATTAGATGACCTTATGCAAATCTATTTGAGATATGCACAAAGTTTAAGAAAACCTTAAACTTATTTCTGTATTTTCTGTGTGCAATTTGACTACAGTACAAACTTCATAGCATGATTCGTGCGTTTTTGGTGAGATCAAACTGTATTTAATACCTGTAGTTTACTCTGGGCAAATTGCATTATTTAAAATAAAATAAAATAAAACACCAGCCTCTCTGCATTCTCGGGGAGAAGTCTGCAGCGATGGTCTCCGTGGAGATCCTCAGCAGAACTGAACAGCCTCTCGGAGGGAACACTGCTTGGCGGAGCTCCAAGAAAAGACATCGCGATCGCTGCGAGATTAGGAGGCCTGATTGCGTTGTGTTTCCACCATTCCACAGGGTCGGCGGACCGGGGAGTGCAGGGCTCTGTCAGATTCAGTGACAGCTCCGTCTCCGCAGCGATTGAGGAAACTGTGGACTGAGATTCCTGTACAATTTCATCCCAGAAACTCCAGACTTGTAGTCTCCATGCAAGATTTCTTTGTCGGCGGCTTGATAAACAGTTCCTTTGTTTTCGATTTTGATTTTGCCAATCATTATTGGCATTTTCCTGCCTGGTTCCTTCTTCAAGACTGAACAATTGCTTTAACATTCAGATGATTTTTTTTTTTTTGGTCTGAGCTGGATGGGTACAGCTTAAATCATGGGTCCAGCCTAAAAACCACCGTTTAACTTACACTGATCAATTTCAACATGGACTGTTTTTGGTTTTTTGTTTTTAAATAAAGCATCATTAATGCACATCTGCAGGGTTTTGCCAAACAGCCCAAACTGTATACATTACAATCATTAAAAGCTCTTATTTTTTTTAATATTAGTGCCGTTATCATGGAGAACAGCATGACAGCTGTCTTTGGCAGTCTGTCATTTTTCTAGCATTTTCAGAAACTCATCGGAAATGGCGGTACCTGTGTTTCCCTTCGAAAGCCTCTCAGTACAGCACTCCTGTTCCTCTGTTAAACTCTTTGTTAATCCAGTGATCTTTTAGACCAAGGAAATATTTTGTGGTGGTGTTCTGGGTCCATACACCAGCAATGAAGGAGATAGATTTGTGTACTTGTGTTTTTTAATCAGCATTAACATGGGCAGGCACCCTCATTTATAGATGTCAGGAAACATTCAGTGAAAAACTTGTAGAATGGGATGTAATAACGAGGTTCCAGTAATCTGAGCAGTCTAATGAGGCCCACATCCTCCACCACAGAACATGGCTATATACCAAGTGCTACTCTCACTCAGCCTGTTGCGGATCTTCATGGCCTCAGGAGACTTGTTTCTCCGTGGTCTCTTCTGGACTGCACACTTCCATCATAGCTTGCTGGGCTGATCTAGATGTCTGTTTGTTGTATGGAAATTTTGGGGGAAAAAAGTCCAAAACACAAACTGTGGGTTGAAATATTAACCATCTCCTTGGTTCCTTGGTATTCACCGTGCCTGATCTGCACATTTCATCGTGGCTGTTTCTGTATAGCCTATACTGCATTAGCCCAAGAGATTGTTGCTTTGTAACTTTTTGCACTATTGTTTTGGCTGGATTTGTATTACACACAGTTTTAAAAAAATTCCACACCATTCTCTGCCTTTTTTTTTTTTTTCATATGTTTCCTTCCCGCACAAATTCCACAGAGGCCTCCCATCCAGCTCTTCGTGATTTGGCTGCACTTGAACACTGATTGTCCATTTACAGCCCTCGGCAATGTGCCTCCTAAATGGCATGACATATGTAGATGTGCTGCAGCACTTGTTAATGGTCACAATAAATGCCACTTCACCAAGGAAGTCTCAGATGAACAATTATGAACATCCAAAAATTTATTTGGGGGGCAATAATCAACTGATTTGCAAAATTCGGGGGAAAATGGCACTATCCGTGTACGAATCGAATACAAATCAAAGATTTGTCACATCCCTAATAAAAACAAGATGGAGATGTCTCTACGATCATATTTGTAAACTACACAGTGTGTTGGGTTTTATGTCTTCCCCCTCCAAATTGAATGGTTCTTTGAATTGCTCCAAATCAATCAACTATCTTGCAGTTTTGATAGAAGTGATTTTTAGGTTGAAACTTGGGCTCTGTTGACTGAAAATAGCTTTAGAGCAGGAGAATTGAATTAAATGTTTTAATAGAGCGGTTGTAAATTAAATCACTCACTACCAGGAAGGTCAGAAGTTTATGAAGTTTTGACTTGTGACTTCAGTGTTACAAAGAGTGCTGTGCTTTTTTCACACTAAAGATGAGTTTGGGGAAAGAAAATATTCTCCCACAAAAAAATTTAAAACAGCAAACCTTAAGCACTATTTTAGGATTAATTTCAGTGTGTTGTATTAAGGTGCCAGCGAGATTTCAGATTCCTGTAAACCTCTAAAGAAAAGGAGTCGCGCCTCAACTGATGTAGAAATGACTAGTTCCACATACAGAGACACATCTGACTCCGATTCTAGAGGACTGAGTGATCTGCAGGTAAATATGTTCAAGGGTTTGGATGCAGTGCTCGTTCTTGCTTTGCAAAACCAAAATAGCATAATGCTTTCGCCTGACTGACTAGGGGAAATCAGGGAATTTTTAAAATACTCATAGAAAAATCTGGATATTTTGTAACTTAGGAGTATCTTAATTTTGTTGCTCTCTTGTTATATGACAAATATAGTTTGTAATTCTAACTGCGGTTTTTCCCAAAACAGCAGACATGGTATCCATGGACTTTAGAAAGAAGGAAAAAAAACTGTGTCAAGATCTATTTGAGAAAGTCTTACTAGGGTTTTCATAGCATCTAACTTTGAGGAAATATTTGTTTTGCTTTCCTTAAAAATGTGCTATGTTTTCCATGTAGGTAGGCTTTGGAAAGCAAGTAGATAGCCCTTCAGCTACTGCAGATGCAGATGCTTCTGATGTGCAGTCCATGGATTCAAGTTTGTCAAGAAGAGGCATGGGAATGAGTAAGAAGGACACTGTGTGTCAGGTAGGTGCGTGACTGATCCTATGACTTGAAACAGTTGCTATCATATTCTGCCAATAATAGACTTACCTCATATTGCAGAGGGTAATATATTTCTAAATTATGATATTGCCTTAAAGTTACAGAGCTTGGATGGGTGCAGTGGCTCACGCTTGTAATCCTAGCATTTTGGGAGGCTGCGGTGGGAGAATCACTTGAGGCCAGTTTGAAATGTGCCTGGGCAACATAGTGAGACCCAGTTCCTACAAAAACATTTTAAAAAATAAAACTGCAGAGATAAAAGCCCTTTCTGACTCTTCTCTTTCTGAGTTGAAATATTTATTATTCACACATAAGTGTCAATCTTTATTGTGATACACAGTTATTAATTGGAAGTAAATGGCAGATGACTGATTGCAGAAATTTTCTTAAATTAAAGTTAGTATTAACTTTTTAAATGTATTGTTGAAAAATATTGCTTTATCCTCTGAATAAAAGTTAAAAGTATGCAGATCCCAGAGAAGGAATCATAAAAGGTCAAATATGACTTAAACTTTATACCATATTGGATCTGGAAATACTATAATTATCTATTTTAGTGGTTCTCAAAGTGAAAGCCAAGGACCAGTAGCATGTACATCTTCAGAATACTTGTTAGAAAGGCAGATTCTTTGACTCCATCCCACACCTGCTGAATTAGAATCTCTGGGTGAAGGACCCAGTAATCTGTGTTTTACCAAGCCCTCCATGTGATTTTGACGTTTGCTGAAGGTTGAGAACAATCGCTTTTTGCCATATTACAGATCTGTGAAAGCTTTGGTGACCCTCTGATTCCTTGTGAGGGAGAATGCTGCAAATACTTTCACCTGGAGTGCCTGGGATTGACTTCACTCCCTGATGGAAAGTTCATCTGCGTGGAATGTAAAACCGGTAAGCTTACTTATTTTGACAGATATGAAAAGTTGAATAAGGGGCTGTGCGCAAAGGCAACAACTTCTATCATATCTAATTTTCATCAGTTTTATCTGGCCCTTCCCCTTTCCTCTGATAAGTATTTCCATTACCATTCAGTGATTTAGTGATTAAGCTTCCCAAGATCAAAACAGTAGTCAGGGCCTGTAATCCCAGCACTTTGGGAGGCTGAGGCAAGAGGATTGCCTGAGCTCAGGGATTCAAGACCAGCCTGAGCAACATGGCGAGACCTCATCTCTACAGTAAATCAAAAAAATTAACCAGATGTGGTGGCACGTACTTGTGATTCTAGCTACTTGAAAGTCTGAGGCAGAAGGATCCCCTGAGCCCAGCAGGTCAAGACTGCAGTGGCTGTGAGCATGCCACTGCACTCCAGCATGGGCAACAGAGTGAGACTCCAACTGAAAAAAAAAATTAGTAATTTTTTTTAACAGTGACTTTTGAAATGTCAGGTGCTGTTAGTACTAAGCATTTTATCCTGCTGTCTCATCTGCTCCTCATGACATTATGAAATAAATACTACTGTTATTTTCATTTTACAGAATGGGAAATTGAGGGTTAGAGAGTTTACTACTACCTACCCAAAGTACAAAGATGGCATATGATAGAACTGGAATTTAAACACTGGCAACTTGGCTCCAGAATCCTTGCTCTGTACCATTGCCTTCTGCTGCCTTGGCTAAGTAGGACGGACGTCTTGTGTCACATATCCTAATACACACATCTGTACTCATTCACATGCATATACGCACAAACTAAGTTACAGAAGCTGTTTAGAATATGTAACTTATATTTTTCACTATCTAAAATATTTGTCACATTTAGGCTCCAGTAAAACCTTTTTTTAAAATGTATTTATTTTATTTTATTTTTTGAGTTGGGATCTCACTCTGTCACCCAGATTGCAGTGCAGTGGCGGCTCCCGGCCCCACCGCAGACTCAACCTGCTGGACTTAGGCGATCCTTCCACCTCAGTCTTCCAAGTAGCTGGAACTACAGGCGCGCGCTACCATGCCCAGCTAATTTTTGATTTATTGCAGAGATGAGGTCTCACCAAGTTGCCCAGGCGGGTCTCAAACCCGCGGGCTCAGGCAGTCCACTCACCTCAGCCTCCCCAAGCGAGGGATTACAGGCTGAGCCACCGAGCCCAGCTTGTTTATTTATTTTAGTTGGAGTCTCACTCTTGTTGCCCAAGCTGGAGTGCAGTTGGAGTCTCACTCTTGTTGCCCAAGATGGCGATCCTTCTACCTCAGCCTTCCAAGTAGCTGGAACTACATATGAATGCCACCACACCTGGCTAGTTCTTGTTATTTATTGTAGAGACGAGGTCTCACCAAGTTGCCGAGGCTGGTCTCAAACCCCACCTGGCTAAGGCAGTCCTCTCGCCTCAGCCTCCCAAAGTGCTGGAATTATAGGCTGAGCCATTGCGCCCAGCCTCCAGTAAAACTTTTGACAAGTTTGCCAACCGTTAGCCCAGGTCAAGTTATCTGCACATTGTTTTATTTGGTCTTCAGAATGTGTTTCCGTTTTTTTTTTTAAACATAGATCAGACTTGTACTTCTGGCTCCCCACTTTCCTCGCCATTCCTTTTTCTGAAATCCTATCACTCCAGTCATTTATGTAACTAGCCTGGCCCCTTTAAGCATTCAAGTGTGCACTCCTTGCTTAAATGTATTGATAGGAAGGACCATGTATTAAAACACTCTTAGGGCTTCTCTCCAAACTCTATAATCCCAGTGGAATTCTGCCAACAAAGGTTAGGTATAGTCAGTTTAGTATACATCTATCAGGAAATTTAAGAGAAAAATTTGCTTTAAATACAATTAAGTAGAACAAAGTTGGAGGACTTTCTGATTTCAAAGTTTACTACAAAGCTACAATAATCAAAACCATGTGATACTGGCATAAAGATAGACATATAGAACAAAGGAACAGAAAGCCCAGAAATAACCACTCATATATGGTCAAATGATTTTTGACAAGGGTGTAAAGATCATTCAGGGGACAAATGGTGCTGGAAAAATTGAATGTGCATATATAACAGAATGAAGATGGGCCTTTACCTAATACCATAAACAAAAATTAACTCAAAATGAATCACAGACCAAAACGTAAGAGCTAAATTAGGCTGGGCACAGTAGCTCACGCCTATAATGCCAGCACTTTGGGAGGCCAAGGTGGGAGGATCGCTTGAGCCCAGGAGTTTGAGACTACAAAAAAACAAAAAAATTAGCTGAATGTGGTGGCACTTGCCTATACGTCTCAACTACTTGGGAGGCAAAAGGATCTCGTTAGTCTAGGAAGTTGAAGCTACGGTGCCAAGATTATGCTACTGCACTTCAGCTTAGGTGGCAAAGTGAGACCCAACTCAAAAGAAAAAAAAAAAACAGTTAAACACTTTAGGTGTAAAAAGTGTTATGGGACACATACTTAATAAGTTCTTTTGCAAGCCGAGCTCAGTGGCTCAGCCTGTAATCCCACACCTTTGGGAGGCTGAGGTGAGTGGATTGCCTGAGCCTGTGGGTTCGAGACCCGCCTGGGCAGCGAGACCTCATCTCTGCAATAAATCAAAAAATCAGC